TTATCTTTGTTGTAGTTGTTGACACTTCTGTTTTGATTTGCATATTGCAATTTGAAGGAAATTATTTTAATGTGTCAAACTCTTAGGCCAAATGCACATTTTCTAAAATGTGAAGTCCTTGATAAAAACAAATTTAAAAAATTGAACAATTTCTTTTTAAGAGGCAAAATATAATTTGTTTAATGCTGCGGCAATTATACAGATAGGAAATTGTTCCTTTCTTAGAGGTGTCAGTCCCTGAAAATTCTTCTACTAATACTTTGTTTGCACCCATGAAATTTAGAACAATCTTAGACTCTTGGTATGTTTTACTAATCAAATGCAGAAGTTCAGAAATGTTCAAATCCTCACTTCACTTTGAGTCTGCTTAATGCGTGTTAAAAAGAATCATGACAAACGGAGGATTAGGTCTTGTGCCAGATTGGGGATTATTAGTCTTTAAAAGAAATAGCTTGGAAAGGGTCACTGTTTAATAAATACGTGACATACTGAAGTACCTTAGTCCATATGATACTGATTACAGTATAAGTGTTCTTTAAGATGGCATCTATTGTTCCATTAAGAATGCTGGATTTACAGAATCTGCCAATAGCCATTCCAGTGTTTTGTTTTAAACTCTGGAAAACTGATAGGGGGAATTCCATATCATAGGTGCCGCATGGTCAAACATTGCAGATCTTGTTGCAGCACTGAAATCTTTGTCTTTTCCTTTTGATTTAAGGTGGAAGGAGAAAGGAGGTTGAATTAATTTTTGTATCAAACTTGTTCTTAAAAATCTTACTGTTGTGATGCAAAGAACCGAAATGTAACTCTTGAAAGTTATTTTTCTATCTTTGTTAACAAAATTATTACAACTATTTTAGTATGCTTCGTAGATTTCAAAATAATTTGAAATCTTGTAGTTAAAAATAGGTTTCTTATGATTATTCTTAGTGGACTTAAAGTTAATGATTGAACAGATTTGTACTTTTCATTCTGCAGTTTTTTAGTATCTTGCAGTAGGTCCCTTAAAAATGAGCTTATATTTTAGAATGTGAGATTTTTGCTAAACAAAGCCCTGAATCATAATAAAACATATGAAGTGGCCTGGTTTTCTTATATCAGCTGATACTAAGGCAAGTAATAAATCGGATGTATGAAATAAATACTAGGTAAAGCTTCTGTAGAATTGGTGGGAGTCTGCCTTTCAAAATAACTAGGTTTTATCTGATAAAGTGGTTGTTAGTGTTGGCAGTGGTTCTGTGCAGTCAAACATTTTGTTTAATTCGATGGAAATAAAGAAAAATTGATGCTGTGTGTGTAAATTGTCGTTAGTTACGCCACTTTCCTCAGGGTGCTCCGTGAGCATGGTGAGCGTGAGCCCCAGCTCACTGAGGAGGAAGCTGATAGACACAGGGAGGTAGGTAGGGGCTCAGGGACAATACAAATCAGAATAAGAATTAGAAGTTTACAGCACACAAACCGGCCCATGTCCTGGGTTTAGCACAGGCTTTTTCATATATGCTTTTCTTAAAGCATTGCCTACTGGAGTCATACTGAATTTCAGTTTTTATTTAAAAAAAAACCCCTAGCTGATAGTCTTCATGACTCAAAGAAAAGCTAGAAAGTCAGATGGGAGAGTAGCCTGTGAATAGAGATAAAAGCAATAGTGGCTTAATTTCTTTATTTTTTGCTCTGTCTTATCACTCCTAGGAATCACAGATCTGAATACTTCAGATCTACTGAACACCTATGTGTATGTTTCTTGGCAATGCATTCAGAATACGTGTGTTATAGTTTTATTTATGTAATTGAAAAATGGTAGTAATTACTTAAAAAAACCCCCTACATCCTCACTGACTTCTTCCCGGCAGTTTTAAAGAGACTTTCAAAAATTCTGTGCTACTATACGACGTTTTGTTCATCCTTTGAATGTCAGCACTGTTTTGAGTGTCTGAGCCTCTTTTTTGTAAACTAAGAGTTCTCTGTAAATAAACTGACTTATCCCAGCATTTTTGAAGGTTTATTTGAGGGTGAGGAGAGTGCAGATTTCAAGCCCAGGTGCTGCTTTATTTTTGCTGATAAGGAAGGTGGATAAAAAAGGAAGTTTTAAATTCTACTTTTCTCAAGTAAGAAACAAAAAGTGTAATTTTGAAGAAATATTGTGAGATTTGGTGCCGTTTAGAAGCAAATAAATCTTGTCAAATGTATATGTAATTAATTTTACTCCTAAGTGCTACCATCAGAACATGTTAATTATGTCAAATCCTTTTATCCTCATTATTTGATTGCATTAGATGATGTGCTTCTTATAGGTAAATATCAGCTTATATTTGTGACTAGAAACAGTCGTAGCTTTTCATAAATTCATGTTTTGAGGTTACAGTGATTGACGTTATTTGGGAGTGCTGTGGTTAAGAAATAAAGCAGCCATGGAGAAAATGTGTTTCCGGACCCTTTTGGAGGACTGACTTGCATGCGATTGAAGGAGTTACATTAGAAACAAAAAAGAAGGGTGACTTACGCAGGCTGTTCCTGTTTGCCATTGCAAATTAAGTTGTCAGATGCATTGCTTGATTTTATATATTAAACAGATGATTGCAGTTCTCAAGCAGTTTAGTTTTGATCAGTTCCGTCTCTTGGTTGTTTTTTCTTTAAATTTTGAAAATACCAGCTGAATTTTTAATCCAAAAGTTACATTTTAGAGTAGATGGTCACCTGCAAAGAACTTCTGTCTTCGTAAGCCATGATTGCATGATATGCATGGCTGTGCACGCTGTTATCCCCACTTTCCCTTCTTTCATGTTTCGGGCTCAGTGGGCAGGTCACTGGGCTGTGGATAATATCAGCCGTGGGTAGTGAGTTTAACACTGCCCTGGTGTTCCCACCATAGCAAGGGTAGTGACCTGCTTTGCGAAATGCTTGGAGACCTCTTCATAAGATGTGACACAGAGCAATGGGTGTGGGTTTGGTTTGGTTTTTTTGTTTAGCAATAGTAGCAATATAATAAGCATGTGAAATTATTTTTTTGTATTTAAAAAAATAAGTTTAATTACACTGTTATCTTTATTTTAAAACCTCTAAAATAACATAAACAGTGTGTATTATTGGTGTAGTGATAGATGTGGTCATCAGTTAAATTTTCCAAAGTCGGTTATGGCTTTTAGCCAAATATCTCCCAGTAAAAGTAGAATGATGGATTTAACTTCACAGGTTGCAGTTTGACAAAGAAGCAGTGGAAAACAAAATGACTGTGGGTAAACCCACAACGCTGCCTGTGTCCTTATGTGTCTCTTGATCATTCTGATGAATTTTCTCTCTGCCCGTGCCTTGCGTTAGGCAGAAAAGTGAAATGTTTTTTCCTCACTTGAGTAATTTTCACTGAATTTTCATCGATTATATGTTTGTGCAGGAGGTGAAGAGGATGAATTCAAAGGAAGGAGTAAACATACAGTTAGTGTTAAAAGCCTTTCTAGCTATGCTGTTTTGGTAGCTTGAACTAGTTTACTTAAACACTACACTCTCTTCCTCTGGAAGCAATAAATTTGTTCAAATGATGATCAAAGGATAAGAAATTACTTAAGCAAATAGTTATGTTTAAAATACTGTAAAAATACAAGAACTTTTTCGGAGTATATGTGACTGATCTTAGAGAGGTACACCATGAAGTAGCTTAATTTCAGAACTATCTTAAATTCAGAGATGAAAATCGTTTAAGGTTTTGTTGAAGAGTTGTCCATTCCTGTGCTGTCAAGGCTTCTGTAAGGTGATACCCAACTGTATAACTTCTTTATAAGATATGAAATGGGATGAGAGCTATGAGGGGAATAAGCAGCGGGACTTCGTTACTGGAAAAGTGTGCTTTTTTCCCGCCTCTGTTAATATTATCTCATGGAGAAATGGCATGTAAGTGTGTTTGTACACGCAGACACATCACGCACACCAGACCGTCTGTCTTCTCATGTCTGACTACAGCGGTAGTGATCACCCAGGAGAACAGGGGTTATAGGCAAGGCAGGAGGCTGATGGCCTTTGTTCTTTGAGGCATGTTACGCTGGAATTTGGTTTTACTTTCATTCTGTCAGATTCCTGATCTGATGACTTTCAGGCTCGCTGAGGTGTAGTGCTGTTTGCTCCAAACTCTGTCAGACTGCTGGGAAGATGTCCATTGTTTTGAATTACACCTCAAGTGTATCTTGATTCACAACTCCTAGAGGTCTGAAAACTGCTTTTAGAGAACTGTAACCAACATACTTCAGAAACTGGAATATTGGATTAAAGTACGGAATAATCAACTGTGAAAATTCTGTCTATCTTTTCTCCTGGTGGTCTGTAACAACTTTTATGGAGTTCAAAATTTAAATACATTATAATTCTTATAGCTTGTTTTTATGTTGTTTATGTTGAAATACATTTTCCACCCACATATGAAAGTACTGCTCAGTTTTGCCATTGAAATGTCTATTTTGTATTCCCTTTATGTTAAAGAACCTACTTTGTGCGCTGAGAACGATGAGAAATTTGTTCATGAAATTGGTGTGTATTCAACATTAATTAAAGATTGCATTCAGCACTCCAACAAGAATCTTTAAAAATGGCTGAAAGTCATATTTGTACAGTGGCAGCCAAGATGCATCTGTGAGATTCTGTAAGACTCAGTCACCGTCTCTCCTCCATAGTCATGGATCTTGTGAATGACAAGGTGGGGGTCTTTGGAATGGCTGAAGATTAGCATCCCCTGCTGTTTTGTAATTATCAGAATCTGGACAGTCATTTATTTGAATGAAATAATGCATACAGTTTGTGCCTCCAAAGAAAAGCATGCATAATGTGATTGTAAGAAGAGGTTTTCAGTCTCTCAGTGGGATGTCATAGGGTATGTTTATAAACTTCAACCTAGCAGTTGCTCTGCAGTGGAATTCCACTGGTATTGAGATAATAATTTGCACAGTCAAATTGCTTTCTTTACAAAAACCCAGGGAATTATGAGACCCTAATCCTTTATTAATGTCAACCCATAGGCAGCAAGAAAGCGTAAGATTGCCATTCGAAAAGCCCAGGGGAAAAATCTTGAGGCCATCCGAGAGCTGAATGAGTATCTGGAACAGTGAGTGTCTTACAAGAATACGAATTGTGTTTTGCTATTCTGATAAATCTTTTTAATTAAAATGGAATTTGCATTTGATTTACGTTTTTGCTTCCATGCTGGTCATCTACAGAATCCGTTGCACATTCTTTCTTTTTTTTCTTTTTTCCTCTCTTGTCTTCTCTATACAGATTTGTTGGAGACCAAGAAGCTTGGCATGAACTCGCAGAACTTTACATCAATGAACATGAGTAAGTTGTTTGCTAAGTCTTCATAAAAACTGTTAAATTGAAACCTACTCTGTGTAAGTCAAAGACCTCAGTGATTTTTTTTTTTTTTGAAGAACTAGTGTTAGAAAGTATGCTGTCTCATTTCCAATATAACAAGCATCAACAGGAAATAATTACTGACCTTATTTGACTACCAAATGCTTTAAGAAGGCACTTGATTTTAAAACCGAAACGGTTTACTTAATTACCTGTATGTTTCAGTCATTTTTTTAAATCCGATACTTTAGAAGAAGTGGTTTGAGTGTAGCAGGGAACAGCACTTATTTCCCATAATTTTTCATTCAAGTGATGTTTTTTACTAGTTATAGGTTTTAAATTCTTTACTTCTAAAATCAGTTGATCATGGCAACAGATATTCTGATTTACTTTTGGCCTACCTCTGCAAGAACTTTTAGTAACCTTTAAAAAAACAAAACAAACCCGAAACATGGATCCAGGGTTAGAAGCATCTGGTCACCTGGGTACAAAACCCAATGCAATCAAGAATGCTGAATGTTGTAGTAACTTGCTTATTGGATATTTAACGGTTTTGTTAGCTTTTTTTTTTTTTTATCGCTGTAGTGACAGGAGGAAATCCCAGTGTGAGAGGATTAGCTCAAAGCCTTAGTGCAAGTTTTCTAATATCACAGCATTAATTCTAACCTCCACCCAAAGGCGTATCTTCTGTTTCCCCCTTCTTTAGTTCTTCAGCCCAGCCTGAATTATATCACATTGTTTCCTTCCTTCCTTTCTAGAGAGTAGTAAAAGAATCAAATTCTCAAGGAAGAAATAGCCATTCTCACTGTGATGAAAAAATTGTTGCCCCATCACCTTTCTTTCCGTCCCATACTCAAAGAATATAATTATTAAACTCTTTCAAATGCTGACTTAAGGAATAATCTAGAATTTTGATATGCAGATTTCCATTTGTTTTGGGAAATTCACCAGTCACTTTTCCAAGAAAATAGATGTTTTTTTTTTCAAATGGTTAGAAACATATTTAAGCTTGTCAAATCTGTCAGTACAAAAGTGAATGATAGAGTCGTGGAAACATATGTATTCCACTAATGGGTTTGGGGTTGGTTTTTTGTTTTTTTTGTTGCTATAATCTGTATTACAAAACTGTGTAATAAAACCTGAGAAAGAAATTGGTTTTGCTTGTATTTGTTTTGGTTTGTAATTCCAATAAAAAATAATATGTAGAACTTTTTCCAGTTCATTGAAAAAATTGACTGTGCTCACTGCACTTTTATGAACATCATTGTTGTTATTATTTTGATGATTAAATGGGGAAAAATTGGAATCTTGGCTGAAAAGCAACTAAAAGGAAACAATTCATCAGCTTACCTGTTTTATCAGTTTCACAAATTCTGTCTCGCTTGTGAAATCACCATGCTGTGATTGTTCATAAACACACTTAGTACAAGGTTTATGTAGTCCTCAGTTCTCCGCTCTGTTCCGTTATGAGGACTGTGGCTTCTGCTTTTGGAGAATGAGGTGGCTATCCTTTTATCTCCAAATAAATATTTGAAATACATACACAACTATCATAATGTGCACAGGAGAAAACCACAATATATTCATTTTAAGAAATAAGATTTTATAGATTATATGGTCTAATATTGTCTCAGAACTGCTAGATTGTTTTTACTCTGATATTAAATATGTACCCACACTGTCATTATAAACATTGCGTCTCTGAATTTTGGAATCCTTTCATGGAAACTCTGTGCAACAGTGCTGTCACATATGTGTAGAAGAAGCAAATTCTGCAGGAAAGTCTATTAGTTGAACGATTATGAAGCCAAGATCTTTATAATTGAATAAACCTATATTTTGAGCTTGACTTCTTAATTCTCTCTGAAAGCTTTAATTTAAATAACAAGTACTAGCCTTTTCTTTTGCAATGATAAGTTGTTGCCCATTTGGACTGGTATGATGCTATATATAGATTTGAACTGTTTGATTTTTAGAACTGTTCTTAGTATGGTTTTTTGATCTCACTTTTGTGGTTGACTGTGAGCAGGTAAAGTTAACTGGCAGTGTAAGTTCTCTGATTTGTAGCTTGATTTGTGAATCCTCAGGTAGCTGAATTTTCTTGTAGAAAAAAAATAACTATTTTGTAGTCTGAGTTCAAATGTCTTGTAGTACCTAATGCCTGTTTCTAGTCATCACTCTTGTTGATCAGAAATGGCACTTATTAATAAGAAATGAGTATATTAAATGCTTTCCATGAGCTGTTCTATATATACCTAGACTATTAAGTTTTGTATATTCTTCACTATCTATGATGTAAAAATAGTAACTTGAGGTTTTGAACATCATTTTAAAAATAAAGCATTTTTCTTAATTGTGAATCACGTGAAGTTATAGGGGGAAAAATAAGACTACTTTTATTGTGCTGTAAAGAAACCGAAGCAAAGAACTGTATACTCTGTTTCATTTTGTCACTGTGTTTTATATTCCTCAGCTATGCAAAGGCAGCCTTCTGCTTAGAGGAGCTTATGATGACTAATCCACACAACCACTTATACTGTCAGCAATATGCTGAAGTAAGTATTTTCAGAAAAACCAATTATGTTTGAATACATACTCTGTTTTTATGTTACTGAAGTGGTGAAAATGGAATAAAAATGGCCTCTTTAATTTTTCCCTAGGAGATTTAAGAGAGTACACAGAGAATGTTAACATCTCATAGAACTTAACATGTTAAGAAAACTGTGTTTTCTTACTCAGTGTGACTAAGGTAAATGTAAGCGTAAGGGCAGGAATTATTGAAGATAAAGATTCATTTTAAATGAGCTATTCTTGTTGAAGCGTTTATGCACTTTTCAAATTAAGTGCATGAGAAGTTAAACTTTTCCACAACAATGCTGCCTAGGAGGTTATGATATATTGCCTGTTATTGTGGAGACCGATCTTGGAATCCGCGCAGGAGATTTTGCCTGAAAGAGCACTGCAGGCAGAGAGGGCCCTTAGAAGTTTTAGCTCAAGGTTTTTAGCCATTTGCACTCTTTTTTTTCAGATGTATATTATTTTTTTCCCCTAAATTATGCTGTTAACTGCTTAGAATGGATTTAATTTCTTTTGTTAATGTGGATAAAGTTGGTTTAACATTAAAACTTGGAAGTCTAAATAGCTTTCTGGTAGACTGTGAAGCATGTCTTCTATATTTATCCCTCTTTTTGTTGATCTAATAACAGGCAAAATGAATAGAAAAACAATGCAGTAATCTTCTAAACTTTGTGCGCTATTTTGCAGTTGAATAGATAATGAAAGGCATTGTGTTGTTTTGTGTACTGGTGTAGTGCTGTGCTGAAGGAATATAGAGTTAGTATGGATTTATAGCAGTCAGAATTTAGCTTTAGATTTAAAGTTTGTGTTACTTTTCTTAAGAGACTATCCCAAGGTTATAAGTGTGTATAGATGCAAAATAATCACTTTTTATTCTTGTAGCAATTAAATTAATGCTGGCTTTTTTTTCTCCTATAGTTGAATATTTTAAAATATTTGTATATTGAAAAGAGCCAGTATTTGGCCTTTCGTAGGACTCACCTGATTTGAAATATTATGTGAAACAAACTTGAAGTGAAGTTTCGTAATATCTTTGCTTCAAGAGTGAATGCCTGAGGTATGGATGACATGTGCAAGTTTCAGGAGCTTATAATTTTTACAGGTTAAATACACTCAGGGGGGGCTTGAAAACCTTGAGCTATCAAGAAAGTATTTTGCACAAGCACTGAAGCTTAACAACAGAAATATGAGAGCTTTGTTTGGACTTTACATGGTAAGCATGATTATATATTTTCCATGTTATCACTTTGAATATGTTTTTATGCATGTATATTACCTTTTACCATTTGCTGGTTTTTTTTTTTTTCTTTTGGTTGAACTTAATAGCTCAGATTATTGACACTGCTTTTAAATACTGAGTATGGACAATTTTATGCCAGTAAGTACTCCTTACTTGAAGTGCTCTTAACCTTTAAGTCTTGCCCATGTTTTCCAAAGAATTATTGGCACATGAAGATAAATTCTTGAAAAAGGATTTAAAGTCATACTCTTCTCTACAGGATGGTGAACTGCTGAAGAGTACCAGCACAGTATGATGGCTACTTTTTTTCCTTTCTTTTTTTTTCTAACCAGCCCATTGTTATTGTTTTTGTTTTTACTCACTCCAATTTCTAAATACAACTTTCTACTTTTAATTTCAAAATGAGTCTTTAGCTTGCACAGCATTGTTGGCTTGAGCGTGACCATGACTACGGTTAGCGTGTACTGGCACCAGTTCTTCAGTTTCTCCAAAGATACTGAGGCCTCTATTTAAAGTCTTCCTTTAGATCTTAGAACTTTTAAAAGATCTTTTTAGGTACAAAACCAGAAAGGTTCTGGTTTTTTGTTTGTGTTTTTTGGTTTTTTTGTTTGGTTTTTTTGTTTTTGTTTTTGTTTTTTTTAAGTTCTAGGCCACCCTTTTGTCTCTTGGGAGGGGGGCAGTTTGCAGGGACACATCAGGCAGGTAACTTTGAAACTTCCTATAAATATCAGGCAATAGGATCTTCCTTTCAGGGACTTGTTAGGCATCACCTTTAAGACTCAAAAAGACTTGGACCTGATCTTCTTAGCCCATCTGCAGAGAATCTTGGGTTGGTGATTGTATGTTCAAGAAGGAATAAAAACTGGCTCCTTGCTGTTCCTTAGGTCATTTAGCTTTTTAGGAGTAAGGTTTGTAGCAAATCTGTTCATTGGCCTAAACTGATTTTTAAGGTGTGTATACATATAGACTTCTGCATTGATTCTAGAACAGGCCTGGGGGTTTATTATGGTCAATCGTGGCTTGTCCTCTCTCAGATCTTACATCCTGCTTGTTATTTTCAGTCTGAAGTAGATTTAGAGCCTGTTATCTATGATGATCTGGCTGGCAACCTTGAGCTAATATGACCCAAGCATTTGAGAAACTTTTTGGTTTGGTAGTGCCTGAAATTCATACGTGTAAACCCTGATTTGCATAATGCAATTTCATTACTGCAAAAAATGCACATACGCTCTCTTTCAGCTCTTCAGTTTTGCTTGGCTGGCTACTGTCACATTTCACTAGGTGGTTTTTACCGTTGCTGCTTCTGTGTCTACCCTTTGGCTCCTAATTTCTGTGTAATGCTGTTTCCAGGCTTTAGGATCTGATTTTGCTGTGGCTGCTGCTTTTGTACCTGACAGACATGCCCAGCATTCGTAGTCCCCAAAGAATGTCCATAACCCTGGTAAATTCTCCACAAAGGCTTTCAGCTGTATCTACCGAGGAAACTGGTCAGTACTTCATTGAATTCAGGAAACCAGAGAGAATGATGCCTCATCTTAGGACCCTGCCCCTGTACCAGATCACAAATTCAATTCATGTGGGCATGGCTTCAGAGGATGCGTTCCTGCGTTTGTGGAGGCTGCTTCTTTGGCAATCTCACTCCTCTCCCATTTTTGGAGGTAGTTCCAGGGAAGTAGCTGTAAGGGAATGTTCGTTGAGTCTGAAATGTAGTATTCATGTAGATAGTTGCGTCCATGCTCCTTGTTAAAATCTTCTCTGGAGGTTCGTCATTGATGGGTGAGTAGGGTTCTGTGGTTCTTTGTATTCAAGTAATTTTGCACTCAGAAAGGTGTTCTGGGAGGCAGTAGCAGTGATTCCTTGTGAAGTGGATTTATTTATATAAGTGGAAAAGTCTCTGTGATGAGTTTGGTTCTTAAGTAATCTTTTTTATTTTTTCAGGTGAAGATGGGCATAGTTTATGTATAGAGTCTTACCTGCTTTTAAAATGTGTTTTCTGATGCCACAGGGAAAAATGTCATGTTTTTAATGGCAGTTTGTACACACAAGTCATGTATTTTGTATCATCTCTGACAACAAATTGAATGGGGAAAACTGATCCTTAACTCTCACTTTAGGAAAAGCAAATTGGATTAACTGATCATGTCCAGGTTTGGTTCCTAACTCTGTACACAACTGAACTGAAGTCTAGTTTAGCTTTAATTAGAACAAATGTTTAAAAAGTTTAGCTGATTCTTAATTGGATGCTGTTTACCAGTAACTGTTTTTATTTTTTCTCTTTTTCTGCTGTCACTGTGCAGGGGCCTCTGAATGCAAGGTGCTAAATGCTCTCAGTTTATTAGATGCATGTATATTTTGTAGTTACACCGTTTTTATTTTTGTATTCCTAGTCTGCCAGCCATATTGCTTCCAATCCAAAAGCAAGTGCAAAAATGAAAAAAGATAATATGAAATATGCCAGCTGGGCAGCTAACCAGATAAATAGAGCATACCAGGTTAGTACATCGTTGTTTTATGATACTCTTAACATGCTCTGTAGTTCTTTTCTGCACTTTTATCAACTGCTGTTCAAGAGGTTAGATATGAGGTGTAAATCAGCATAATTTGCTTGGATTTTTTGCGTTCTACTTCTGTTTGATTTCCTGGAAGCCTTAATTAATATAAGGTTGATATTTTACAGTTATTAATTACTATTATTTACTTATTAGCTTTAAACAGATTTTTTCCACTAACAATTAACTGAATGTACACTAGTGTAATGTTGACCTCCAAGACTCGGTTCTAAGTATATACTCAGCTAAGTATTTTAATAAAACTTGTTATGTCTTAATTCTTATAGTAGCTTGGTCATCTACTTCTATTTTTCTAGAAACAAATGAAAATTCTAGAATTTCATTTTCCTTCAGTTTATTCTGACCTTTCAAAATCATATTTAATGGTGTTCCTAATAATTACCTTAGTAATTGTGACTGAAGTTGGTTTTGTGTAGTTCTATAGAAAAATGCCTGTTGAATTGTGGAAATGTAGATTTTGCAGGCCATAATCAAAGCTTACTGAAGTCATTAGGAGTCTCTTCAGCTATTTGAAAAGTTATGCATAAACATCTATATTTGCTTTTTGTATTATAAGCTTCTATATTTTTCCTATAACTATGAATGAAAACAGGTTTTAGGTCATAGGTTTTGTTGTCTGTGCATCCCAAACATAGCATGTCTATTTGACTCCGTTATAGCTATTCTTAATGACCTACCCATCAAAGTTTATGTATAAGTAATCCTGAAGATCAACATCATACTGTCCAGTTCTCCCCAGAATGGTTTCTGAGCAAAAATGTTGGTATTAAATGCAAAGACTTTATATACATGTAATAGTCCTTTCTCTCTGTAATATTTCAGTGTCAGAACCCAGTATTTAATTTTTCTCTTGCTGCTGCTGTTTCACAGTTAGTACTACCAAATGGCCTTTTGACCAGCTCCATCTATTATGGAATTAAATCAGGATTTTGTTTCATGGCCAACGCAGTTTTCTTGATACACCATTTCATTGGCAAGAGTGCAGTTTCTTGTGGCTGACGTGTTTTTGATGTATTACAACTTTGAAGTATTTTCCATTTCCCCTGATTGGCTCTGTAGCTTCTGACTGTATTTACAGTGAAGAATATTGTATTCCTGAGGACATAATTAGGCATTTTATACTTGTGTGCCTAAAGTTTCTTTCTGTGTTTTGCTGTTTAAATGACTCCCTGCTTTTCATTAATACACCATTTACATGCTCCTGACAGTAAGGTGTGTATGAATTACCATCTTTGATTTCCCATAAATAAGCAGGACTTCTTTTGACTTTAGTATGTCTGACATTCCTGTAAGCATAATATTGATGGAAAACACAAGTATTGCAGGATTTAGAAAAAACAAACAAACACCCCACCTCCCCTCCAAAACCCCTTGAAGTACAGAATACACAGTGGATTTGCCACTGATAGAACAAAACAGGTTTTAAAAGATGTGTGAATTTTGAGTGAAAACTATTATTCCATGTTTTACATCTTAATAAAATGAACTGCTTAGATTAGAGGGGGTTTGAACACATGTTTTAAGTGAATATTATGACTGAAGTTTCCAGTTCAAAGCACCAGTAGAGACCGATTAGCACTTCTGGGAAACAGCCCTTTTCAGGGTACATCAGGATGGAAATGTAAACCCAGTGTTGGCTGTGGAATGGTGGCATACCAAGATTAAGACCTAGAAATAGGCATCTCCTGGTTATAAATATAATGGAATTATATTAATTAATTATAATTAAATATAATTAATTAATTATGCCAGTTTGTAGTTGACTCACAGCCAGATAAGCTTGCCTTTTTTTCTTTTTTTTTTTTTTCCTCCCCACATGGCTTTCTGTTAACATTACAATGTTTCTAACAAAATATGACTTGTATTGGGAGAAGTGGTGGTGTTGAAGGCATTTCTGGGTGTGTGTATGTTTTTTGGGTTTTGGTGTGGGGTTTGGTTTGGTTTTTAGTGTGTGGTGGATTGACCATGGCTGGACACCCTGTGCCCAGTAAGGCTGTTCTGTCACTCCCCTCCTCAGCTGGACAGGGGAGAGAAAATGTGGGTTGAGATAAGGACAGGGAGACATCATTCACCAGTTACCATCACAGGCAAAACAGACGTGACTTGGGGAAATAAGTTTAATTTTATTACCAATCAAATCAGAGTAGGATAATGAGAAAATAAAAACCAAATCTTAAAACACCTTCCCCCCCACCCCTCCCTTCTTCCCAGGCTTAACTTTATTCCTGATTTCTCTACCTCCTCCCGAGCAGCGCAGGGAGACGGGGAATGGGGGTTGCGGTCGGTTCATCACACGTTGTCTCTGCCGCTCCTTCCTCCTCAGGGAGAGGACTCCTCACACTCTGCCCCTGCTCCAGCATGGGGTCCGAACTGCTCCATCGTGAGTCCTTCCCATGGGCTGCAGTCCTTCACAAACTGCTCCAGCGTGGGTCCCTTCCACAGGTGCAGTCCTTCAGGAACAGACTGCTCCAGCGTGGGTCCCTTGTGGGGTCACGAGTCCTGCCAGCAAACCTGCTCCCGCGTGGGCTCCTCTTGCCACGGGGCCACAGGTCCTGCCAGGAGCCTGCTCCAGTGTGGGCTTCCCACGGGGTCACAGCCTCCTTTGGGCACATCCGTCTGCTCTGGCATGGGCTGCAGGTGGATATCTGCTCTGCTGTGGACCTCCATGTGCTGCAGGGGGACAGCCTGCCTCACCATGGTCTTCACCATGGGCTGCAGGGGAATCTCTGCTCCAGTGCCTGGAGCACCTCCTCCCCTCCTTCTTCCCTGACCTTGGTGTCTGCAGAGTTGTTCCTCTCACATATTCTCACTCCTCTCCTCTGACTGCTGCTGGTGTTGCACTTTTCTTTTTCCCCCCCCTTCTTAACTATGTTATCCCAGAGGCACTACCACCATTGCTGATGGACTTGGCCTTGGCCAGCGGCGAGTCCATCTTGGAGCCGGCTGGCATTGGCTCTATGGGATATAGGGGAATCTTCTAGCAGCTTCTCACAGAAGCCACCCTTGTAGCCTCCTGCTACCAAAGCCTTGCCATGGCAAACTCAGTACATACTGGAAAGTGCAATTCCACTGTTTCTGTGAAACTCTTTTGGATCCTATGTTAAGCATTTTTGGTTGATGCTTACCAGAACAGGTCATGTTAACAGAACTAACATATTTAAAACACATGTCATAACTTCTTTGTGACTTCATACTTTTGTGATATGTTGCATAGTTCAGCTGCTCTTTTTAGCTGTTTGGGACATGAAGTGACGAACACCACATCTGACTGGAATCATAAGGGGAATTTAGCTATACAGAAAATTTAAGTGCTCAAGCTAGGATTTGCGAGCAAATGGTGTGAACACCCTCCTTCCTCTTCACAGAAGTTCCACAAGAAGCTCTAGTGACTACAGCTGGACAGGACTGCCCCAGCCCAACCCTACTGAGCTTGTTACAAGGCTGCAGAAGGGTTTGGCCACTCCAGTGTGTATGTCAGAGACTTACCACATCCAGCTCCTACAATAAATGGTGTTTGGTGATGTAGTAGGTGGCAGTTTCCCCTATGAGTCAGTATTGATTTGTTGCTCCCTTAGCATGTTGAGCAGTTGGAAATTGTCATCTTTTGGACTGAAGAACGAAACCTTGGTCGCTTGTGCCAGTGGAAGCCCTTACAGCATTCCTCCATTACTGGAGGCTTGTCTAGCCAAGTTTTAAGCTAGATACTTATATTATCTCTATAAATCCTCCCCACTTTCCTTGCATTATCCAAAGCGCTTTGTAAAGTGTAGTAAGAGCCTTAAGAGCTTGTTGAATTTGGCATTGACTTGTTTTATTAGTTGGACCTTCTTATACTGTTAAATGCAATTTTTCCTGTAGTCATGTTCTAGAGAATAAGATGCATTTAGAATCCTGACTTGGGTGCCTAGACAAATTCTGTGAATTTGTGACTTTAATATATGAAGTTATTAATTCGAAAAGCTACTTTTGAGCAATTGTCTTGCAGTGAGATCATTCTCCTTTTTCAGTCTGGGTTTGAACTTGAATTACCAGCAGTTTGCTCAGTAATTTTGGAAACCTGCCTTTATTTTTTCAAATTCAGTACTGGCTATAGTTGCATTTTTTTATTTTATATGCAATTTACTTGAAATATTTTTTACTGGTCCCCTTCTTTCAATTTATTCTCTCATTCAAGCAGTTTGCTTTGGCACTTGATTTTTGCGTTTCCTGTGCATTCCTGTATGAAATCAGAGGAACTTTTTCGTTTATTGTCATTTAAAGAAAACAATCTTCTGGTGTAAAAAGAAAACCTCACTTTCACCAGTGTTGGTTAGACTGTACAGCAGTTTCTTTACAGAAAAATATGGTGTTAAATAATAGTTGAATTAAATAATTTTATGAAAAGCACAGATATTTGATGCTCCATCTGATTAATATACCTCTTTTGATGTTAAATATGTAACTCTCCATGCTGATTAGTACTTCTCATCTGTGCCTAATCTAGGAGAAATGTAAACTTTCAAAGGAAGACAGAAAGGTTTTGTAGCTAGGGCTGCTGCGTGGAGCTGGAATTCCTGGCTGCTAATACATGCTCTGAAAAAAAAGGTCATTATTCTCTAGGCCACTTAAATTTAATTGACTGGGTGGAAAAAAAACCCCAAAATTTAATTTTTATCTTTTATTTCAGATGTTAGAGAAGTACTCATTATTCAAAGAATTATTATAAGTTTATTATTATTATAAGCTTAGTTTTGCTTTATCACTGGGAAACTGTGCAGACTCTGTGAAGAACGTGTATCTGTTCTGACTGAGGACGTGAGTCACAGTTACTTTAACATCGAAACAAAATATGGCTACCTAGTGTTCTTCAATTAGGTAATTGGTTTTGCATGTCCTCTGGTAGAAGTGTTTCAGCAGAGGCAGGCAAGTTTGATTAATGCTCACAAAAATCTTTAATGTGATCCTACTCATAGTAATTTTCCAGATACATGCTTCTTGGGTACATTGCTAAATTCTTCTGTGTTAGCAATCCACATGTTATTTATGGTTGGAGAGGTGATTTTGTTACAAACCGTTTGGGAAACAGAAAATTAAATCATGATTTTAAGAAATGGATTCCGGCTCAATCAGTCAAATTGCTGTGTAATGGCAGAATAGACAAAATAATTGTTCGTCAGGGCAAATCTGAAGTGATTACATTTCCAAGTACACTTCTGTTTGTTATGACGCAGAGTTCGGTTTTATTTGTTCAGCTTAAAGTACACGTCAGTATCATGAAGGCAACCACTCTTGAAATTAGCAAGTAACATTTTTTAAACTAATGTCTTATGTTGGTTTTGCTTTCAGTGTCCCTGAAGAGAAGTAAAATAAGTAAAACTCTTCTTATTTTGAAGCTTTCCTCTGCGTGCTTTCTGTGTGTCTTGCCAAGCATGCTTTTTGACCACAATATACTCAGGCTTCTGTGCTTTTTATTGGAATCTCTGAATGCTTTGAATTGAAATAATTTTTCAGTCAAGGATTTTGAGTTCTGTTTTTTCATTTGCTTGTTCTTATGAAAGGATTTGGACTCCCCAAGTATCTGCTTGGGACTATTCTTATTTAGTGTGAACAAAAAGAGGATATTGTATTAAGTGAGATCCAAGCAAAAGTTACTTCTCTCACCTGGGAGAGTGTTAAGAAATCTTTGCTTTTCCTCTGAAGTTGACTATTGCACGTCACTGTGGAAACTGCACAACCTGAAAAATGGGTTTATACATACTACTAGAGTCAAAACATAGCACATGGGTTCATCATCTGGAAATATGAAAATACGGTGTTTTCAGTATGTCTCCTAACTATGAAGTATTGTCACAATAATAACATTTCATTCTCCTAACTATTTAATTTGAAATAGCATTTCATTTACTGTGCCAAAACTGTTTTTTTTAAGAACTCAGTACTGGTTGGGAATCCCAGTGTTAGATTGTAGCCTGGGGGTCAAAAGCAGGTTAACAGGTCCTGCAGCTTGTTGCTGGTGTGATATTACCTGGGTTTGATGACTTAATCTTTCTTAACAGGTCATGAAGAGTTTGCTAAATTAAGTTAATTACAAGAGAGAAGGGACACATTATAAATCAAGGACTAACTATGCGAGACACCAGTGGTATTTGAAATAAAAAACATTAAATTGAAAATTTATTGAGTGTTTAGATGTTAACATTTAGGTAGAGAGTAGGCTATTTTACTACCAGTAAGTTATAGTTACTGCTTCTGTGATTTCTTTACCACCCCTCCCAACCCCAAATGCAAAACTTCTTAATGCAGGTGTATTAAAAGTGGTTGAGAGTTTCATTTGACTGAAGACCAACCTAGTCAATAAATCCACTGTGTTAGATATGGCTGATGAGTGATGGGAATCGTCAGTACAGTTAGAAAAACCCTTTTGAGGTCAGCGTGGGGTGATGAACATCCCCTACCCTTCTACCCCTTCCTTTCCCAAACTTGGCTGCGTGTGTCTTAGGGAATCTAAAGCCATAAGTAGTATTTATTAAGCTGTATCTTTCTTTGTTATCCAGACAGACTTTGTTTTCCAAATGCTCCCTGAAATTGCTGCTGTAATAGTAGGTTACAATCCAATACAAGGTCATTACTCACAGTTACTTTGAACCATAAAATATAATTATATGATGACTAGATTATTTTATAGTAGATTTTCTCTGTCTCACTATAACAAAAATAGAAAATAGATTAGCTTAAATAGCAGTTCCAAGTCTTGCTGCTATTTAAATTATGAACATAATCTAATTTGGATCACACAAAAAATTCAGGTCTGAAATCAAAATTACGTTAAACTTTACAGAGCAAACAAAACAACAGGAAGATCTCTATTCAGATAAATGTTAAATTTCAAAGTGGAATATTTGTTAGTACTGAATATTCAAATTCAGAGCAAATGAGTGAAATTAAGGAGTTCTGTTGTATTTTTTATTACTTATTAGAGGAAGGGTGATATAGCTTGTATTCTAGTAAAAATGCTGAGGTTTAGTGAATCAAGAGGCTGTGCCTCTAGGTTTATAGTAATTAGCGTAAATTTTTGGTACTTAATGTTGAGAACCGTTACTTGTACAGGATCTATGCACAGAATTTCTGATATATGACAAATAAAAATCCTTTTTTGTTGTTGTTTAGTTTGCAGGTCGCAGTAAGAAAGAAACTAAATACTCTTTGAAGGCAGTGGAAGACATGTTGGAGACCCTGCAAATCACTCAATCTTAGGTTGGCACAGAGATCCAATATTAAATTTTCCAGTTCCATGATCAACCTGTAACAACCTATGGGTTATGTTACTCCAGTGCTGTTAAAAGTTAATTTTGTATTGATTAACGTGCTATCTAAAATAATGTTTTATGAAACGTAAAATGCCTATTTATTGCTGCTACGAGAAATGTGATGAATACCCACTGAAATGAATAACTTATCCACAAAGAAAACATAAAGAAATAATGTGCTGCACATCAGTGTCTTTAGATTTTTATATCTACAGTACGTGCTTTTAAGCCATAATTTGTAGAAATAAACTTGTTAAATGATTAAAACAAAATAACAGTGATTTATTCAACTTGCAAATGGAAATTATGAATTTATATATGTAGACGAATAAGGTATGTTAGATATTTTTATCTTATTTGCATATTTAAAAGTAAAAGCATGCTACAGATGTACACTTTCTGGTAAATATTTACCATACAGCAAGGAGTGATTATGAGTACACTTTATTAGAGAAAAAAGTTGATGTTAATGGTTTTATTACTGAGTTGATATCTGGTACTGTAGAAATGAAGAAAACCTATTTGTGTATTTTGCTTCAGAGGGGCTTTTATACTGGCTTAAGGCCAAAGACATTCTTCTCTGTGGCTTTGTGGGCAAATGCTTCTATGTCCACGTAGTTCTCCAATCAGTATCTGCATATGCACTTTTTTTTGTTCGTTCCGTGTGTCCTTTGTTGTACATATGTTCCACATCATGAATTTCAAAACCATCTGAATGTAGGGCTGCATGCTGGTCTGTACTGATTTTGTACCTATGCTATGGGTACCCCTTTGCTGTGGTGTAAGCTATGGTATATTAGCTTCTCCACAGTAACCACGTGTTACGGCACTGTAAGGATGAGATAGTTTGTTTGAGTGCCTTGTACTTACTGGAGGATAAAAGTGTTTTTACACCATTAGCATGAAGCATCTATCACACTGTGAATCTATATTGTATTTGTCTTTAGGCGCTTGTTTATTTACTCAGATAATTAGTCCAACACCCTAATTCATGAATTTTGCAGCTCTGATCATTCTGGATGTTGTTCAGATGCATACTGTGGTAATTCAGTTGCACAGCTATCCTTTCATTTATTACAGCTTCAGTAAGATCGCATGACAGCAGCAACATAGCCTTGATAAATTCTAATAAAAATATTGTGATGTCATTTTCACGACTGTTGCCACCATCCAAGCTGATTTGAGTTTCAGATTTTATACTGCTTACTCTATATAGAGGGTAGGTTAAAGGCTATGTATTAAAGTATCTTTTTTATGACCCTGGACTTGATGTAATAAAACAAAGTTGAGCTCCTGCTTGAAAACAAAGCAACAAGAACTTCCCTTGTGAGTTCAAAGCTTGAAAATGTGTATAACTGACCTGGTTGTTGCATGGGACTGTGCCTTTAGGAAACATGTAAGACCTCATTCCAATTATCCATGAAGTAGGTCGGAGTGCGATGGTGTGACGGGATGGGTGCTATGCGGTGAGAATTAATTGAGCGTGGAATCTTAAATTAACTTATTACTGTTGAAATACAAAACTGCAAATACTGCATAGTATTACATTAAATCACCCAATTCTAACTTGGGGAAATAGTGCAGATCCTTTTATAATAGTAACTCACAATCTGGCCTCAAAACAGTATTTGCGGATAGATTATGTATGTTTCAGGTGGAAAACCAAGAAAATATCATAGGTGAACCTATGTATTTCTGTTCAGATTTATAGTCTTTTACTGTATGAGTGTGCCATCTAGAGTTTTAAACCCTCGTTAGTCTTTTTTTTTTTTTATTTTACCTGCATCTCAAATAACTTGGTTGCATTCTAAAATTAAAAATGGTGGGAAGCTGTAATGTAGACTAAAATGACTTAGCAGTGCGTAACGTTTTACCTCCAAGGTATTAGAAACCAGCAGTGCGGTATTCTTGTGCAGCAGGCATCTATGCTGCTGGAAAGTGTCGTATATAATGTTTTATTCAGAGGCAGTTTTTAACGTAACAATGTCAGACTTGGGCATATAGTATATCAGTTTCTCTGTAAGGAAGTTTGCTCTGTTTCTTGTTTTCAGTGATTTGATGACAAATTTCATGTCATTTGGCTGCTTAGAACCATCTAGTTTTCACTACTGCTTAGCATCCTTTTGAAATTGCTGTTTAGCACTCTGATTTGTGCTTGTATTTTGGCATAATTCCCGCATAGTAGAGCTTACAAATTGACCTAACAAATATTTCTGACAAATTTGTATTTATTTCAAAGATACAATAAATTACTCCTATGAAAATGCATGGGCAGTCTTTGATAGAACTATTGAATTGCAGGAATGGAAATTCAGGGTTTTTTCCGTATTCAAATGAAAAAAAAAATTTAAAAAATCCTGTGTCTATAGGGGAAGTAATGTATGAAATGCCCTGCAATCTCGGCAAGCAAAGGGTACGGAAGAGAAGCTGTGATATGATGTGATTTTTATAAAAGTAATTTTCCAGTTCTAGTAAATGATTTTGTAATATGTCACTGACGCAGTCTTGCATTAAAGAATAGGTTTTCAAAGAATGGGTTACTTAGTTAACAAATGAACTTGATTATGTTCTGTATTGTGCTCTGACATTGACAAATGCTACGCAAAAATATTATTATTAAGCGTGCAGTCTCCTCTTTCCAAAATAAAAGGCTATGTTTTCATATTGTTTCAGTCGACAGCAAGAACTTGAGACCTTTGCAATGCCAAACTGCATAGCGATGACTTGTGTCTTTATTTTTGCAGCCATACTTTGATAATAGGCTTGATAGGGAGAGCTTGGTGTTATCTGTTGAAGTAAAGGTCATTGCAGAGCCAGCAAAACCTCTGATTCTACCTTTGTAATACAAGTTACTGGTGACTTCTTAAAAACCTTTTGTCCGAATGTTATACAGTTCATATTCTGTAGTTGCAAAAAGCACATCTTGTTTAGAATATATCCCTAAATCTTGTCAGTTCAGTGCCCAGAATATCTTGCCGTTGCTATTGGAAACTCTGTTATTAGTCAACGGAGGACTTCCTCTTGGCAGCGCTGTATTTGTGATGGCATCCATGTTTGCTAGTCACTGCATTTACAGTGGAACTTGTATTTCAGCCAGCTTTAGGAGGGAGGGGAAAAGGAAAGCAAATTAAACTTGACTTAACTGGCATGAATTTGTTAGCTTCTTGTTACTTGCATCCTCATCTTCCAAGAACACCAACTGTAGCTGTAGTCAGGTTTACAATAATAACTCTTCTTCTTGTAACTCAAGAGCTTCCATATATTCAGCTCTAAAACCAACACTCCATTAAAATCTAAACCATACCGATTCCAGTGAAACACTGCTATGCACTGTGCACGTAGCCCAGTATGCAGGGAGAGGACAGTTCTCCTGCCCTCCCTCAAGCTGGTGTCAGAGTGGAGGAGCATTAGAACAGTTCTTGAACGTGGTTTTGTCTAGAAAACTAATACTGCTTATTATGTCTCAAAATATTGCTTATTACTTGCATTGCTCAGTGCATGAATAGAATTTTAGGACTAACTGTTGCTTAACTACAGCTACTTGAGTCTACATGGAGAATAAGGTACGTGAAATTAGTCAGTAGTCTTATCTGGAATGACTCTGCACCCTTACAGGTCTGTATCCTCTTGATAGGCACCAGGATTCAACCCAGGGACTAGTTTTCAGAAATAAATGGTCATTAATCTATCTGCCTCTTAAAAAAACCAACCAAACAAAAACCAAACAAAAAACACAAGCAACAAACCCCCAAACAAACAAAAAAACACAAAACCAAAAAAAGAACAAAAAAAAACCCCACCCCAACAAAGCTGAAGTACCACCCCACAAAAAAACCCCAAACCAAAAAAAAACCTAACCCCCCCCCCCCCCAAAAAAAACCCCAAACCAAAAAAAAACCCAACCCCCCCCCCCCCAAACCACCTCTGATCCAGAAAGTTGTTTTTCAGCTGCTGGATGTGAAATGGAGAACTCTTATCAGTGCACTTGATAGGCGAATTTAATTTGTTCTGTGGTGAGGAAATCCCCTGTGCAAAGCAGTGCAGTCCTTTTAATGCTTGCCTAGAAGGACGAAAGGCTGGAGAGCAGCGCAAAGGCCTGTTCAACCCATATGGCGTAGTAGGACTTCCCATGGCAAGCTGCAAAGAAAATGCCATTCATCTGCGCTTAGGATCCCAGAGGTGAGCATTCCTGGTGAGCAGGCACCATTGCAACTGAAAAGGGCTAAATGAGACGGGACCGGCACAGCCCAGAGCCTGCAGAGTGGGTGCTCGGGTCCATGTGCTGAGAGACCCGACACAGCTCGAGTCTCCACCCAGCTGCCAGCAGGGCTGCACATCGACAAGAATCTGCCTGCAGGTTTTTGCCCCTACTAGGGACTGTCGTCTGTATTTTACTTTTCTCCCCTTGTCCACTCCACAGCAGAATTCTTGCAGAAGCTTGCTGCCGATGTGGTACCCTACCAGTTTCCCTGGGGCTAGGCGTGGAGGTGAGGGCACGGATGGATTGGTTTGCCGGATTGATCCTGGATCTGCGAAGGTTTTGCACATTCTTAGCTTCAGTGCACAGCTAAAGGTCAGCGCATAAGCCTTTACCTTGGACTGAAAGGACGTCAGACAGCAGACCTGTCCTGTTAAACATCTGCAGTCTGCTTAGCTCGTTTCTGGGTGCTTGACAAAGAATGTAAGTGGGTGGATTTTATCCATGCTGAATGACATGCAAACGTACAGAAAGATCTGTTACTCATGGTGTCATGGTGACCGCAGTTTAGTTCTCACAGTCACTGGGCCTTTTTGTGTGTGTGTGTGAAAGAGCACGGAGTGAGTAACTTGGGGAAAACACTTCCAAATGGGAGGTCCTTTATCCAAGGGGAAAGGGATGGCTGGAGGAAACCAGAGCCGCTGTTTCAGCTTGCCTGAGTCAGCATAGGCCCAGTAGTTCTCTCCACTGTAGAGGATGATAAAATAGCCTGCGTTTTGCGTTGCGTAAATAATGAGAGGTGTAAGGCTGTTTTTAAAAAACAACCCTGAAATTGCAGTGCAAAAATATTTTTCTCCTCATCCCTGTGTATTTTAACTGTCTTCAGTGTGACCTTGTTGATGTTAGGGTTCCTCATGCCATTTGGCTAGCACGTAGGCATCTGCGTCAGGGCTACCAGGGAAGAAAGACACATTTAGAGTGACTGCTCACACGGGAAGAGTTCCTGATGGGCTTCCATCATGGCACCTCATAACCTGTTTGCATCAGCAATAGAAGCACTACTTGTCCC